TTCCTCAAGAATTTTTGTCACAAATATTCAAAGGGAGAATTTTCAACGGAGAATGGAAAGCATTCCTGGGAAGCTTGCGTGGAGGCTCTAATTATTAGCGTTTCTGCGCGCGCGTTTGACTCGAGGCAAAGTACGAGGTCAGAAAAACCGGAAAACCTCACCATGACTCGTCTCGAATCTTCCCGCTATCAGGTTAACGCGCGTCTTGTACTGCTAATCAGGAGGCTCTGCTCTTAGGCTAAATCCTAAGTTGCATTGGCACGTAAATTCACGCCTCCCTCTCCCTCTCTTTTCCCGTCCCATGTTCTACACTTCCAAAGGTATGGAGTCTTCAAGAGATGATGAGAATCTTCACACATGTTGAACTGAATGTGATTACGGTTACCACATTTTGGCGAAGATCGATACTTGTACATGTTCAAAAGTTCTGCTCTGAGGAATTGACATTGACGGTAATTTCACTGTTTTTGTTTAGATGTTTATGTAGCGCACATCCGAAACTATATTTTTGATATAGATTTGACTCGTAATCAAGTTACTGGCGAACAGATTCTCGTCACAGGTGTTGATCGTCTCGACAAATATCTGACGATTAATCAAATACACATATACATCAAATTAGATGAAAACAAGTGTAGCCGATAGCTACACTCGAGTTCAAATCCCGTAAAGGCCTGAATTGTTTCAGACCTTTTTTTCACTATTGCTTAAGTAGTGTGCATAACTGCGAAGATCGCTTCTTCATTCATTCATTTCCCTATCCGACAGTTCAAATATATGATTTTTATGTGTTAACAGTAATTTTTCCATCACTTCACGGGTTTATTTGAAACCAATATAATGATCAGCTTCCAGTTGGCTTGTTAACTCAGTTGGTAGAGCGCAGCACCGGTATCTCAGAATCGTAATCATGTTACTGACGAATGGATTTTCGTCACAGGTGTTGATCGTCTCGACAAAATCTGACGATTGGTCAATTACGAGGTACGTTGTCTAAAATTAGATGAAAACAAGTGTAGCCGATGGCTACACTTGAGTTCAAATCCCGTACAGGCCTGAATTGTTTTCAGGCCTTGTTTTCACTATTGCTTAAGTAGTATTCATTACTTCGAAGATCGCTTCTATATTCATTTCTTTATCCGCCGTTCAAATATATGATCTTCATATATTTACAGTAATTTTTCCATCACTTCACGGGTTTATTTGGATCAACATAATGATCAGCTTCCAGTTGGCTCGTCAGCTCAGTTGGTAGAGTGCTGTTCCGGTATCGCAAACTTGTAATCATGTTATTAACGAACGGATTCTCGTTACAGGTGTTGATCGTCTCGACAAAATCTGACGATTAGTCAATTAAGACGTACGTTGTCTCAAATTAGATGAAAACAAGTGTAGTCGGTGGCTACAATTGAGTTAAAATCCTGTACGGGCCTAAATTGTTTCCAGTCCTTGTTTTTACTATTGCTTAAGTAGTGTTCATTAATGTGAAGATCGCTTCTATATTCATTTCTTTATCCGGAGTTCACAATTATGATTTTCAACATGGTTTTGAACTATTCCACTGAGGGAAAAGTGCTATGTGGGGCTTGCTGTGAATTACCTGTAAAGAGGCATTTAGGATTTATTAAAACAAAACAGTTTAAAAAATCTAGACAATCCAAAACAGTTTAAAAAATCTAGACAATCCAAAAAAGTAACAAATATATAACAATATATTATTACGCATAATATCATATATGACATTTTTCAGTGCACTTTTTTCCTGCAGTTTGCATAACGATAATTAACATTTGCATCGAAAAAAAACAGATTGAAGATCTACTCCATAACTTTTTCGATCCCGGAAAAATTCATTTTCTAACCTAAACTTTAAGGCAAAGTTGAAAAACATACGTCAATCAAACGTATCATTTGAACTGTCCTGTTGCCTTTGTGCCCAAAATTTCGCCTCTATCCCTCCTTGATGACTACCAACTTGAGTACACGTGAAGATCAGTATCTATTCATTAATTTCCAATAGCGTTATTGGTACATACAGCGAGCAATAACGAATAAAAAGCAAACATTTCGAATTGGGCACGAAAATCTTCGATTTCCGAAATAGTCGCCATGTTGTGACGTCACGTGGTTATCAAACCTGATAACCATCCCAGACCGTTAAACTTAACAAGGTTTTCCATGCCCTATTAAAATCATCATGTCCTTCAAGCGATAAGAAATCTCTGCTGTCTAGTGTCAATTAAAACTTCACTTTTTCCCGATGCATTTTTGTAATATGAAGCAGCTAAACAATTGAAAGGGAGAAAAACGTGCTTGTAAACCGAACGCGTGGTCAAAACTACGCCTCAACCTGTTAATCACAAATTAATTATTAGTCAAATGTCAGTCAAAGTGTTAACCTAACAGGAACAAATTCTTTCATATAGACAATGACACAATAATAGGATCACAAATGTCGATAGATTTCTGTACAGAATAATATTTCGTATACAGAGGCATTCCTTTTTTAAAGAGATCAAAGTTTTTCTACCACCTTTGGTGTAAAACCCCAAAAATTATAGAAAGAGAATCTGAATTGTTATCATCTTTTTGGTTCTCTTTCCTCACAGATTAAAGATCGAAAACGACCAGCAAATCTCGATGGAATGGTCGTGTAATCTTTTTATAGCAGCTATCGAAACCTACCCTTTCTATTTTGCCATACTATTCCCATCCCCCATGAATAGTTTTTCGAGACCAACTCACTTAGCTATCAGAGCTTAGCATTACGTAACGACGTATATTGTCACTTCCTCCACTTATGGGTTGACCATGAATATATCACTACCCTTCTCCCTTATTCAGCATTCGTCAAGTTTCAACGACAGTTTCCTGATACATATTCTGTGTTGAGGGGTGGCACTTCAATAAAAAAGCCTCTTCCATGATAACACAACACAGTCACGTGAACAAGGGTCGAAACAGTCCCAGTTTTTTCAACTTTTATAGTCTTTACAGACTACTTTCCATTTCCACCAAGTTTGGGATCAAATTTGTAGGTGGAACTCTGTTCTTTTTAAGCCTTGTTTTTCCTCGATTCAACGTCTGCCGTTATCCGAACCAGAAAATGGCTATGCATAAATCTCTGAGGTCATATTATCATAAACATTTTCGCAAAAGCTATGAACTAGGCATTCGTAGCCAAGAAATATGATATGTCCAGAAATGTATTCATTCAGACTTAATTGATCCGGAGTTCACTTTAGTTAGCGAGTCAGCCGTTTGGGCAATTTACGAGTCTCCCTTAAAACACAGGGGAAAATGGCCTATTTAGGGAGTTGGCTGTTAGTGTTTATTCGTCTGTATTTCAGTTTGTCTTTTATTTATGTCAGGGACTCGTTTCTTGTGGAACTTAATGGTGTTGTAATATAACTGGAGAATCCTTAGAAGTCAAACGTCAAGCAAAAGGATAGGTTGAAATGCGAGATATGTCTTGTAAGAACTCCACTGAGCGACTTTAAACGTCGTTCAGTTGATGGAGCATCAAAAAACATTAGTTCAGATGTGAAATTATGAGTCCTAAAACAATTCTTCCCCCGGATCATCCTGGAGTTGAACTTTACCCAGCACGAAGAGGGTCCGCTGAGCCTACAAATTTTAAACTAAAGGAGAAACTTGCGCTTAAACCAAATCAGACAAAGGTGTTTAGGAAAATCGATTCATTGATAACATAAACTATGTCATATTATGAATTTTGTCCTATTTCTATATCATCTGAACGACATTAACAATGAAACAAATTCACACTCGAGAACTTACTGATTAATAATGATTTTGTTACAGTGTGAGGTGATTATTGATAGTCGACACTACCATTGGGAGAGATGGACGTTGAAGCTGCATTCTTCAATTTCCAATCTACTTCCACAAAATTGACTACGTTTTAATGAGCCGAACAATAATTTTTGTAACATAATAATGGAAGAATACTTTAGCTCTTTAACTTAAAAACTTTTTACGGTGGCCAATTTAAGTTACCAACTCAGTTGATAATACTTCTTTATAATTACCCTGTTATACTCTCTCATCGATGTAGCACTAAAGTTTATTTAGAAACTTCACCCCTCTTTAAGGTAAGTTTACTGATGTAAAGACCTCTTAGCAGTTATTAGTGACACGTTTACTCAAAGAAGGCAAAACCAACAAAAGTAGGGAGGCTCCGTACGCAACATTACAAACAAGTCAACGGGTCACCTTTCTCGTTAAGTTCAACTGGCTAAGGAAATCCTAATCCTTTTTATCTTCAGGACTGATCATAACGAAAATTCTCCTTACAGCACTCAGAAATTTGAGAGCAGGAAGGAGATGAGAAAAAGGAGTAAAATCTCTCAATTTAGCGGTGCGAAGCACCAAATTGAAACGCCGTCCGAATAATCGAGCTAACCCGCACTTATGCGAGATTATCGAGGTGAGGTAAAGCCACCCGAAAACGTTTCCAAAGTTCACTGAATTTCTTTGCGTGGAAATTGGATTTAGTTGTTTACTTTATCTACATAATTAAAATTACACAACACTATTAGCTTGGAATCGTCGGTCATGTGGGCAAAATTTTCCTGTACGAGTGCAGTCGAATTTTGTCGTCTGCAGCCTTGTGAGTAGTCTGGTATAGGAGCTGTGAACAGCTAGATCGGGTTTCTCCCAAGGGGTTTTATAAATGGGGCCTTTTGAGAGAGGCCGAACACTGTTCCTCATCTAGGTGCCATTAGTTACTAGCAAAAATTATTCCGACGAATCTGTTTAAAAAAAAATTAAAAAACGATTCCATAGGTTCCATTACCTACGTGTAACTGTTATTCAAATAGGAAAAAGAACAAAAAAAAAGAGTGAAAAAAAATAGTTATTTCTCTGCCCCTAGAAACAGAATAAATAACATATTGAAACGCTTCAAAGGCTACACTTGTATGCATGATTAGCGATGTGATGTGTCAAACGCATCCAACTCTCAACTTATTCAGCTAGATATGGATGTTCAGCAGCTGTTTACTAATCTCAAGAAGGAAGCCGAGTGTCCACTGTGTCTAGAAACAGTCAAGGATCCCAAGACACTTCCATGTCTACACTCATTCTGTCTGCGGTGTATCGACAAACAGGCAGGATATGCAAGAGGAAAGTTAGAAACGACGATCAAATGTCCAGTTTGTCAGGCTTGCCTTCAGATCCCTGAAGGAGACTCGTTTGGCAGCCTTCCCATATCTTTTCATCTCAGCCGATTGGTGGATCTCCTCGCCCTGAAAGATGGAAACGAAGAGGCTCAGAGATGCAGCAATTGTGAAGAAAACAACAAGGCAACTTGCTACTGCTTTGTTTGCCACAACTTTCTTTGCAAGGATTGTTTTGACGCTCATCAGCGCCTAAAGGTCACGAGAGCTCATCGCAATGTTGTGATCGAAAATTTGCAAGCACAAGACGTGGAGGATTTGATGCACAGACCCGCCTTGTGTGCAAAGAAATATCACGAGAATGAACCGCTTGATTATTATTGTCAAGACTGTAGCGTTTGTATTTGTCACAAGTGCGGTATAGTGTGTCATAATCGACATACTTTAGTAGACTTACAGGAGGCTGCCGAAGAACAAAAGATGCAAATGACGCAAGTCTTTACCAGAGTTAAGGAAAAACTTGTTATTGTGGAGTCAAAGATATTGGCGCAAATTGAACTGATGAAAAAAATAGATGAAGAAATCTGCGCCGCTGAAGAGAAGGTTTCGAAAACTGTGCAAGAAATTATTCGAGTTGCGAAGGAACATGAAACGGCTGTAAAAACTAAGCTGGCAGAAATGAAAGTCACGCAACAAAGGAATTACGCAGCAGAAATAGGAAATATTCGGTTACTCGCTGCTCAGCTAAAGAGTTCTGTCGAATATGGTGAAGGTATCGTACAACGCAGCATCAGTCCTGAAATTCTGCAAGCAGGACACGTTGTGCTTGGTCGATGCGAGGAACTTTTAGCCACACAGGATATTGAGGTATGTAAACCTCAACATGTAGTCTATTGTATAAATGTGGAAGCTATGAATACTGCCAGAGGCTTGGTTCCGGGTCATGTAATAGAGATTTACACCGATGCTTTACAATCATCGGCAGAAGGAAGAGGTTTAATCGAGGCAGAAGCAGGTATTCAAACTAACTTTACAGTCACTACGCGAGATTCAAAGGGAAGTCAGTGTTATAATGAACATGACCAACTGACCGTGATAGTCTGCTCTCAAAAAGGAGAAGAGGAGGAAACGAAAATTGATGACTGTAAGAATGGAACCTACGTAGTGCGTTACAAGCCAAAGAGTGTTGGTTTACGTGACATTTCTGTTGAGGTAAATGGCCAACCGCTGACTGGTAGTCCTTGGAGAGCTCAGGCGGCTGGCCATCAGTACAAAGCTATTTATTCATTTGGATCACATGGGTCAGAATCTGGACAGTTTAAAGCACCAGGTAGCATTGCATTCAATAAAAGAACAGGACAGATTGCTGTAGCAGATTATTGTAATGACAGGGTTCAGTTGTTTGATCGTGAGTGCAAATATCTGAGAACAATTGGAGACAAGGGACTTGATGCTGAGAGAATCAAGTTTCCACTTTCTGTGGGATTTACAATATCTGATGAGGTCATTGTCGTTCATGCAAAAACAAAATCGAATAAGATTTCCTTGTTTACTGAACAAGGCAACTTCATTAAATTCATCATTCGACATATGATTAGTCCTTGCTCCGTATCTGTCAGAGATGATGGTCACATGATCGTGTGTGACCCGGGTGACAAGTCAGTCCAGGTCCTCTCCCCTGACGGTACAAGATTAGTACAGTACTTTAAGGTACCAGGCGCTTTAGGTTACCTGGCTTCTGCTGTTTATCATGAGAACAAGTTTTTTGTCTTATACACCTCACATGACTATGTTAAAGTTTACAACAATGAAGGACTTTATCTGTATGATATTGGCAATGAGGAATCTGTTGTTGCACCATTTCTAGGTAACAGTTCTAGCTTCACCATTGATGAGTTTGACAACCTGATCGTGATTGACATAAAGAACAGCTGTCTTCGTGTGTTTTCATTAGATGGAAAATATGTTAATTCGTTTAATGAAGGAGTTAAATCTCCCTGTTCTGTTGCTCCTTTTGAAGATAATAAGTTGTTGGTTTGCGATAAGTTAAACAGTGTAATCCATGTTTTGAAGTAGAATGTGAACATTATTCAGCAGTTGTTCTGATGCGATTCTTTTAATGTGATCGTTGTTTCCTTAGTAATTTAGGACCCTTGTTTTTCACATCCGACGGAATATTCCTCGCTGGCTCAAAAAGGAAAAAAAGAAGAATAGAAATTGGACTCTATGAATATTTTGAAGACAGCATTGCTTTAAATAGAATAAGAGAATTGGTAAGTTTTGAGCTCGGTAAAGAAACGGAGAAAGGTGTTTTTCGTCTTGTCACGAGTGTGGGACAAAGAAAAAATTCTGAGTCCCCACAAGGAATCGAACCTTAGAACTTAGGATTCCGCGCTCCGATGCTCTACCGCTGTTTACAAACATGACTCTATCGATATTGCTGAGTTTTTTCTTTGTCCCACGCTCGTGACAAGACGAAAAACGTCTTTCTCTAGCTTTGTTTTAGTCAATTAATTTTTTTCGTCGTCTTTGCGTTTCTCTCCATTTATTGGTTGCATGCCATTATCTTTCAGAGTAATAAATAAAGTGTTGTTTGACTTGGTGTGAAAATTATTGTGAAAGAGTGCTGTCTTGGAGGGAGGGAGGGAGGGAGGGAGGATGAAGGTCGTTCGATAGATCTCATTCGAAGGGACCCACATATAGAAGGTTTATCTAACCAGTATGCAGCAAGCCATCAAATTACTAACCCTAGGATTGTTTAAAGCTCCATTTGTCACTGGTGTTCCTGTGACGACGAAGTGAGAGTACCTGCACAGTAGTTTGTAAGTGACGGAAATTGTTTTATGCAAGAATTCAGGGCCTGTTTTTTAGCTGCTCTCACGACCACTTAATGTAATTAACTTTTCCCTGAGAATTTTTGTCACAAATAATCATACGGAGAATTTTCAATGAAGAATGGAAAGCATTCCTGGGTAACCTACGAGGAGGCCCTAATTATTAGCGTTTCAGAGCGCGTGTTTGCACAAACGAGGCCTTGAGTAACGCGAGCCGGTGAGAGTCCTCATTGGTGTTTCTTGGTGTTTCTTCACTGTAAATGGCCCGTAAGTTCACCCTCTCAACCAATCAGAATAAAACCAAAACTAGTCGCGGCTAAGTTACCCTTGTGTTTCTCCCTTCTTCAAGCAGATGGCTTGTTTTAAACTTAGTTCCCATTGTCTAGATTTCCTTGTGATATTTACGGTTATACCGTTGTGATGAATTTACCCCTATTTTTACAACAATCAATCAAACTGCACTCTGATAGGAATGCAGATAGAGAAAGAGATAGAGATAGCTTTATTAAACCTCTTCCTTCTACCGATGATTGTAAAGCATCGGTGTAAATCTCTATTACATGACCCAGATCCAAGCCTCTAAGAGTGTTCATAACTTCCAAATTTACACAATAGGCGAAATGTTGAGATCTACATACCTCAATATCCTGTTTGGTTAAAAGTTCCTCACATCGACCAAGCACAGCATGTCCTGCTTGCAGAATTTCAGGACCGATGCTTCGTTGTACGATGCCTTCGCCACATTCGACAGAACTCTTCAGCTGAGTAGCGAGTAACTGAACATTTCCTATTCTTGCTGCGCAATTTTTTTGTTGCGTAACTTTCATTTCTGCCAACTTAGTTTTTACAGCCGTTTCATGTTCCTTTGCAATTCGAATAATTTATTGCTGACAGTTTTCGTAACATTCTCTTCAGCGGTGCAGATTTCCTTTTCGCTTTTTTGCATCAGTTCAGTTTGCTCCAATATTCAAAGATATACACTAAACCAACGGTCCAGTAATCAGGAATTAATCACAAACACGAATGAGATTAAGAGACAATCAAAACTGTCAATGATTTGGGTGGGAGGGAAACTAAAACTTTCTTATAAGCCAGAAATAAACTATATGCCTAAGCGGTATTATACTAAAGTAATTTCGCAATTAAAACGTGTAAGCGTGGTGAATAGCCATTGGCTCTTATGACTTGTATGCTTAACAAATTGCTCAATCTTAAGGAAAGGGCTAATATATACGCTGCCCTAATATATACCAGACCTCTCAGTTATCGATGTCTAAATTCATATTAATTGAGATCAATATTCACTTCAACGCTTTGACCAGATCGACTGATTGACCTTTCGAACGAGTATTTATTATGAAAGTTAAACTATGGTCAATGTGTCTTGTGGTGGACTGTCATAATACTTACAAAATTACAAAAGGGAAAGGAGTAAGCCTCTGCGAGGTACCAAAAATTAAAATTTAAAGAAAATTTGGCTGGCAAAAATAAAACGCGATGACGGTTTGCTGAAACCGAAGAACTGCTACGTCTGCTCGGGTCACTTTATCGAGGAAGACTTCAAGCAGGATATTCAGGTATGAAAGTTGTGTTTTTTCAACTTTCCTTAAAACTGAAAGCTATGTTTACCTTTCACATATTCAAAACGTATTTTTTTTCCCAAGAATTTTTCCCGAGCATTTTTCCAAAGCAGTGTTTATAATTATCTTAAAAAGGCAGCAAATATTTGTTAATTTTAGAATCACTGTGAAAAAGGTCTTCTCGTCACTCGGTATAAATAAGAGTACAATGAGGAAAACCATTAGTATGTGAAACGTTCGTTGTTTTTTTTTTTTTCTTTTTTGTCAAAAATACAGTCCGAGCTCCTTGGGTTTGACGGTAGCAAGAAAAAGAGACATTTAAGAGATGATGCAGTTCCATCTTTTTTTTCTTATGCGCCTCCACAAAAGAAATTCCGACAAACAAGCATTGGTAGGGCGAATCGCCGGAGCCAACAGGAGGTGGGGTGTAAAATGATGCAACTAACTACTGTTTTGTCATACCAGCCTGTAAATATAATTAACACCGTACATTCTGCATTTCATCGTAGGTCTTGAACACCCTTCTTGAAAACACTCCGTTAAAAAGGTTGTTACTTTAAGAGCAGGGAACGACTTCGCTCGGAGGAGATAATGCAGCTCTTTGCAAAAGGGTATGAAAAACCCTGGTAAGGTCCAACACATTTTTTGATTTTTGATTTTTTTATTTGTTTTAATTGTTATTGTTAGTATTATAATTATAATTATTATTATCATTATTATTATTATTATTGTTATTGTTATTATCATTATTATCATTATTATTATCATTGTTATAATTATTGTAAGAATTGTTTTTTTCTGACTTATTTTTCCTATCTATCTTTCTAAGCTGAGGATCAATTCGTCACTTTGCTTACTCTAAACTCACCTTCCCCAAAACTGATGAGTCCTAAACAAGTCAATCAATCAAGCCCAGGAAACGACAAATACCCACACAAAGAATGTAAATTACATGGCCACAAATTACATGGCCTTTTGGCGTCATGTAATCTTAGTACCGTAGCCTTAAGGAGAAAGCGCGCTTTTAACATACCTTTTTGCAGAGCAAATAGACTGAAGAATAGTTTTATCATGTACAACGCGGCTATTTCCTAATGGCTTTATCTTGTATAATGTGGCTATTTCTTAAATTTCACTACGTACAATATACATAATGATATATATCAATAGTATTTTTGCTCTTCCGTTCATGAATTTTTATATGTATATGTAGTATTTTTTAGCCTTTTTTTATTTAGTTTTTCATTCTTTTTTGTATCTAGGATTAATTAAACATTTGTAGAGTCCGTAATCCAACCTTTTGGTTGCAATGGATTTTTAACAACCTGATCGTGTGTGATAATAAGAATGAAAGACTTCAAGTGTTTTCTTTAGACGGAAAATTTGTTTACTCGTTTAATATTGAAGAAATTAAATCTCTCTCCTCTGTCCCTGCTTCTGGAGATAATAATTTATTGGTTTGCGATGGCGAAAAGCATGTAGTCCATGATTTGCAGTAGAAAGAGTCGCTAAACTTATGATGATGTCATGTAAATTGCTTAATTAACAAGGCGAGAATGAATTGATTTTCATCTCAAAGTTGAAAATAATGCTCTATCCGCCATCTAAACACCTTTTCATTCATGCAACATCATATCAGAAACTTGACACACTGGATTGAAACTGCAGACTAAGAACCGGCCCTTCGTTTTTTTACTTTCTTTTTTTTTTTTAGGGGGTTCCGTTTTAATTTGTGTTTTCTTTTTATTTGCCTTCTCTATTTCTTTTATTGCGTTTTCTAGTAATTTAAAAGATTGGTTGAATGTATGATCAGTGTATAAGAGATGAAAAATTTTGTGTCGGTTTCCTCAAACTTGTAGTCAGGGCCTAATGTTATTTATTTAATAAAGTGAGTAAGTAATGACATGTATATCAGAGGCAATGTGAAATTTAGTTACAGGTGTTCAAAAAATTTCATCACTGGTACATCAATATCCTTTGACATAACCGGTTCCTTGAAGCTCACAGTTTTCCTTAAGCATTTCCCTCAGAAAATTGCTGGCCTCTTGGAACATATGTCTGCTGACTAATATCCAAGCATATTTTTGCACAAAATGGAGGCTACTGTATATATTGTAACATGGCCAATAGCATACATATCCTACTACTGAACATATTTTATAATGTACATACTTCAATAAAAACTGTTTGTTTATCACTCACAGAGATGTTGGAAATGTTGTACAGGCTATATACGGAGACTCCCCTCCATCCATATTTTTGGTTGGACACAGGTAAAATGCATTTATTTTGTATTATGAAATGTCTGGAGTAAATTGGTTCAGGTGGATGTGGGCTTCAGACCATTCAATTATCCCTTGCATGATATCCTTTTTGATAAATCATTACCAAGGTGTTATTTAGTGGATGTACCTGAAAATAAGATGGTGTAGAGTTTAAAAAATTACTAAAATTTTAGTTATGCTGTTGGTAATATTTTGTACATGGCGTTACTGGGAGAAAATAACTACTTAAGCAGAGACAGCAGGGATAAACAATTTTTTTACATTCTTTTATTTTGATTTGTCCTTAATGCATAATAAGGGTGTGTATACACTGTAGCAATATGTACAAAGAAAAGCGCAGTTTATCTAAGCCAATGTTTTAAAATGTGTGGGGTTAGTAACAAGATGTGTTTATGTTGATCGCAAGGGCTTATCGCTTAATGATATTAATTTCTTGTTTTCAGTATGGGTGGGGCCATTGCTGTTCTTGTTGGAGTTCAGAAACTGTTGAGTACCTCTTTAGGTGGACTAGCTGTTATTGATGTAGTGGAAGGTGAGTGAGAGAGACTAATAAATAAAGTACATGGAGTGCATTTAAAATGAATGTAGTAATTAAAAGTAAAACCAGAGTGATCACAATTGCTAATCAGATTGAAGGAAAATGTCAGAGGTAGCCAGTGACAACCAGAGGCAAAAGAGGAAAACTACCCACACAACGATGAAATGTTTTATGTCTGTTTGGCGGAGGGGATGACTTGTGTTTTCTAGACCAGTTTAAGACTGTTATGAAAGAAGACAGATTTAATCCTAGTTTAATTTCCAATTTACGTCTGCTTACACCAGTATGGTATGTATCCCTCTCTCATTCCCCTTTACCACTCCCCCTTCCCACTTACCCCCACCTTGTTCCCCTTTACCCCATCTCCCTTCTCACTTACCCCTTCCCAGTTCCCTTTAATCTCTTCACCTTCCCTCTTACCCCTCTCCCATTCCCTGTTTCCCCTACTTTCTTCTTTTATACCTCTTTTTAATAGATTTAAGGGCGATACGTATGCTGTTAACAAACATCTTATTTCAGTGTGCTAGCTTTTATAATCACCCACAGGCTTATTTGCATTCAAATATCCCGACCCCCATTCCTTGAAAAAGTATTCTTTTGTAAATATCCACGCTTACAATTTGTAAGCTCTTAATGTTTTTCTCTCTTGTCACCTTATTTAGATCTCATCAATTTATCAAACAGAAAAATGATTCAAATTCTGTAAAAAGAGTGATAAATCGGGTTACAAAATTGTTAATTAAAAAAATGTCTGACTGGAGAAAACTATAAAAAGTATCGCATTGGGCAGAACCAACGGAGCTGTAAGGAGTACTGCTTTGTATGTGTAAATGTTGTACTAAAATGATAGATGTGTTTATGTTGATGACAAGGGCTTATCGCTTAATGATATTAATTTCTTGTTTTCAGTATGGGTGGGGCCATTGCTGTTCTTATTGGAGTTCAGAAACCGCTGAGTACATGGATGCCCCGGACAAAGTTAGTGAAGTAATGAATTCATCTTCAGCTAAGAACGATAAATGAAAAAAAGTTGTAATGAAATAATAATAACATTAATAATAATAATAAAATAATACTGAATGACAATGATTACAATGGTATTAAAAACTAGAAAAAATTATAATGAGCTTATCAGGGTTTTCCATGCCCTGTTTTGAACGGCTGCACCATCTCCTCTGAGCAATATGAAATTTCTCACATTTAGTAACAATCATAACAATCAAACCTTCACTTTTTCCCGACGTATTTTTGTGGTATGAGTTAAGCAAAGTAGGAAAATTGCGAATGTTCAAAATTTTAAAAAACTGAAAACCTTCAAAAACGGGATTCACGGTAAGGAGACCGATTCTTAGAAAAGTTAACAATGCCATCATAAGTATCCCTTACCCCGAAGTTACATCTTGTTTACACCTGCTACTTGAGGTGACTGTTTCCGTGTTCCGACCGTGGTTTGTCCTTTATCTCTGTAGGTGACAATCTTCAAGTTAGTTTTGCACACTTCTCTGACGTCAAGGCGAACACAAATTCTAACCGAGGAGATGGAATCGAATACCGGAGACATTGTCAGACAAGTCAAGCACAAAGTGTTTCTGATGTGAAATTTTGTTACCTTTTCCTTCTGCAGGCCTATGCCGGCGTGTTAGTCATAGCTCGGATTTCTTCCTGTTGTCAAACCAATACGAGAGGGAGAGAGTTTTGCCAAGTTCATTTAATCTCTGTTTATAAGAATTTACACGTTAGTTTCTCTTTCTGTACAGATTAAAAGACCAGCAAACATCAATCGAGTGGGTATATAGTCTTTGTATGGCAGCTATCGAAGCCAACTCCTCCCATTTTGTGTTCTATTCCCACCCCCAAGAAAAGTTTTCCGAGACTGACTTACTTAGCTATCGGAGCTTAGCACTACGTTACGAGGTGTATTGTCACTCCTCCTCTTATGGGATGAAAATATGCATTCCCCTTCTCTCTTATTCAGCTTTCGTTCAGTTTACACGAGAGTTACCTGATGCACACAGTGGGTTATGGGGTGGCACTTTTATACAATCCTTCTTGCCCACGATCACAGCATAATAACCCGTGCAAGGTTTGAAACGGACTATTTGACGCCAAAATGCAAAAAAGTCTTTTTCCCCTTTTTTTTCCGCCAAAACGTCCTCTAGTCGGAAGCTAAAGTTTGCACCAATCAGGGCAAAGTAGGTCCGCAACGCGTGCGGATCTTAAAATTTTGCGAGCAACGTGGCACTAGATCTAATCGAACCGATGAAAAAATTGATTCATTAACAAGATAAACAAACTCACAATGCATGGTATCATAATTGGATATCATCTCTAGGTTTTTTTCCTGAAAAAAAGAACAGAACATTGATTTCGTCATGTTCCTTCACGTGTAATCCCCTCCCACAAGCCAAGTTCCGTCTTAATAGCCCAACCCCCATACCCCTTAATTATATTCTTTTATAATTATACACGCCTCTGTTTTATCATTATTATTATCATCATTTTTTAAGTAAAAATTACAGATATAGTTAAAATTACTACACAGAAACAAGGAGGATTGGCGCAATTGCTGTTGTAAGCATTTTCAGCAAAATGAATACTACAACTATTCTAAAAAAATATTAATTATATTAATAATAATAAGATATTTAAATTACTGTACAGTCTCACTATTATAATGAAGTTAAATACAGTTACTATTGGGAAAACTAATACAATCATTGTAATTATTACTAATGCAAAAAGAAAAAAAAGGTGCAAGAGAGAAACACCCAAGATTAGAGTGGAAAGCTTTTAATCCAATTCTTATAGAAAGTTTCCAGGTCTTTATTTTTTGAGGCAATGTTTTTTTTCAGTTTGATAATTAGTTTTCAAGTTTAGTTTGAAACTTTCCGTATTCGGATACGCATGCGTCCTTCTGCAATCCCAAAACCAGCAAAAGTAAGGAGACTCTGTATGCAATATTATAAACAAATTAATGTGTCAGTCACTCTTCTCGAAAAGTTAAACTGGTTAAGAAAATCCTATAAACCTTTGCATCAAAACGAAAATTCTCAGCAGTATCCAGAAATTTTCAAGCAGAAAGGTGATTAGAAAAAGGAGTAATATTTCTTAATTTAGCTGTACAAAGCAGCAAATTGCAACTCCATCTTAATTATCGAGATAACGCACACATTCAGAGATTATCGAGGTTAGGTAATACCACTCGAAAAACGTTTGCAAAGTTCATTGAATTTCTTTGCGTGGAAACTGAATTCAGTTCTTCACTTCATCTTCATAATTAAAGTAATAAAACTCTTTTAGTATGGAATCGTCGGTCATGCGTGCGAAACTGTCCTGTACGAGTGTGGTCAAATTTTGTCACCAGCAGCCTACGTGTAAGTTGGCAAACGGGGCCATTTAATCAAGAAATTGCCGATGACTGTTCCTCGTTTAGGCGCCGAAACAGAAACTTATTCCGACAAGTGTGCGTTAGAATTAAATGATTCTATAGGTTTCATTTCTCAAAAAAAAAAACTTTAAAAAGAGAGTAATCACTCCGCCCTTAGAAACAGAATAAAAAACACATTGAAACACTTTAGAAGGTAAAGTTTTAAATCTGAATAGGGTGGAGAGGGCGAGGGCTCATTAGGTGACTGATCCCTCTCCTAGGTCTCGCTTTATGTATGATTAGCGATGTGATGTGTCGATCGCACCCAGCTCTCAACTTATTCAGCTAGACATGGATGTTCAACAGCTGTTTACAAGTCTCAAGAAGGAAGCCGAATGTCCATTGTGTCTAGAAACAGTCAAAGATCCCAAGACACTGCCATGTCTACACTCATTTTGTCTGCGGTGTATAGACAAACACGCAGGATATGCAAAGAGAAAGTTAGAAACGACGATCAAATGTCCAGTTTGTCAGGCTTGCTTTCAGATCCCTGAGGGAGACACGTTTGGCAGCCTTCCCACATCTTTTCATCTCAACCGATTGGTGGATCTCCTCGCTCTGAGAGATGGCAGCCAAGAGACTCAGAGATGCAGTAGTTGTGAAGAAAACAACACGGCAACTTGCTACTGCTTTATTTGTCAGAACTTTCTTTGCAAGGAATGCTTTGACGCTCATCAACGCCTGAAAGCCACAAGAGGTCATCGCAATGTTTTGATGGGAAATTTGTAAGCGCAAGACGTGGAGGAGTTGATGCACAAACCCGCCATGTGTGCAAAGAAATATCACGAGAATGAACCGCTTGATTATTATTGTCAAGACTGTAGTGTTTGTATTTGCTACAAGTGCAGTATAGTGAGCCATAATCGACATACTTTAGTAGACTTACAGGAGGCTGCCGAAGAACAAAAGATGCGAATGACGCAAGTCTTTGCCAGAGTTAAGGAAAAACTTGTTACCGTGAAGTCAAAGATATCGGAGCAAACTGAACTGACGAAAAGAAGCGAAGAAGAAATCTGCGCCGCTGAAGAGAAGGTTACGAAAACTGTGCAAGAAATTATTCGAGTTGCGAAGGAACATGAAACGGCTGTAAAAACTAAGCTGGCAGAGATGAAAGTCACACAACAACGGAATTACGCAGCAGAAATAGGAAATATTCAATTACTCGCTGCTCAGCTAAAGAGTTCTGTCGAATGTGGCGAAGGTATCATACAACGAAGCATCGGTCCAGAAATTCTGCAAGCAGGACATAGGAATATGGACATATATGGAATATGGACCGGGAAAGTTTGAAAGACCAGGAAGCATTGCAGTGAATAAAAGAACAGGAAAGATTGCCATACAAGATCTTGCCAATAACAGAGTTCAGTTGTTTCATCGTTAGTGGATATATATGAGAACAATAGGAGACAAGAAGCTTCATGGTGAGAGTATCAAGTTACCTCATTTGGTGGGATTTACAACATCTGATGAAGTCATTGTCATTCATGGACAATGTTTTCAACCGAGAAAGATGTTCTTGTTCGCCGAACATGGCGACTTCATCAAGTCATCCGTCGGCATTTGATTGATCCTTCGTCCGTATCTGTCAGAGATGATGGTCACATGATCGTGTGTGACTGGGGCGACGAGTCAAGGTCCTCTCCCCTGACGGAACTGGATTGGTTCAGTCCTTCAAAGAACCACACAGTTTTGGTAGGCCGACTTCTGCTGTTTATCATGATAACAAGTTTTTTGTCTCAATTGACTCACATAACTATGTTACAGTGTTCAACAACGAAGGACTTTATCTGTATGATATTGGCAAGGAGTCTGTTGTTGGCTCACTCAGCAAAAACTTCGCCGTTGACGCGTTTAACAACCTGATCGTGTGTAGCAGTGATAAAAGTAGTCTTCATGTATTTTCTTTAGATGGAAAATATATTAATTCGTTCAATGAAGGAAATATATCTCCCTGGTCCGTCGCTGCTTTTGAAGATAATAAGTTGTTGGTTTGCGATGATAAAAATAGTGTAATCCATGTTTTGCAGTAGAATCTGAACATTACTCAGCAGTTATTCTGATGCGATTCTTTCAGCGTGATAATTGTTTCTTTTTTTTGTAGTAAGTTAGGAACCTTTTTTTTCACAGCCGATGAAATATTCCTCGCGGGCTCAAAAAAAAGAAAAAGAAAGAATAGAAATTGGACTTGTAAATATTTTAAAGACAGCTTTGTTTTAGTTTTGTTTTGTTTTAGTTGATGCCTTTTTTTTTGGCGTTTGTCTCCATTTATTGGTTGTATTCGATTATCTTTCAGAGTAAAAAATAAAGTGTTCTTTGATTTGGTGTGAAATTATAGTTAAACGACTTAAAGAGTGTTATCTTGGAAGGGGAGGGGGGGGGGAGTGAAAAGTTATTCCACATTGGCGTTTCAAAAAGAAACAACAACAACAACAACAGAAGAAGACTACTTTTCGGTCGAGAGATCTCACTCGAAGAGGTCCACATATAGTAGGTTGCCTTCACTTGAATGCAGCAGGCTCGTGTTCTTCCTGTGACTAAACAGTTATAGTACCCGGATTGTGTGTGGATGATTGAAATTGTTTTACACAAGAATTCAGGGCCTATTTTTTAGCTGCTGTCATGGCAACTTAATCTAATTAACTTCTCCCTGAAGAGTTTTGTCACAAATAATCATAAGGATAAATTTTTAAAGGAGAATGAAAAGTATTCCTAGGAAGCGTGCGAGAAGGCCCTTGTATTAGCGTTTAGGCGCGCGCGTTTTGAATCTTTTCCTCCCCCCCTCCATTAGACCTCCTTGTGATATTTACATTAGTTATACCGTTGAGATTAATTTATTTTAAGGTTTACAATAATCAATCAAACTGACTCTGATAGGAATACTTATATTGTGTGGGTATTTTTCGTTTAGAGGGCTGATCCCATTTTGCCATACTATTCCCACCCCCAAGAAAAGTTTTCCAAGACTGACTCACTTTGCTATCAGAGCTTAGCATTATGTAACGAGGTGTATTGACACTCCTCCACTTACGGGAGATATCCTTATTCAGCATACGTCAAGTTTCACCGACAGTTCTCTGATGCATATTCTGTGTTAAGGAGTGGCACATTAATACAAAAGCCTCTTGCACAATAATTCAGCACAATAACCCGAACAAGGGTCGAATCAGTCCCAGTTTTTTCAACTTTTAGGATCTTTACAGGCTACCTTATTTACCACTCCTACCAAATTTGGGATCAAATTTGGGGGTAGGACTGTTCTTTTTCAGCCTTGTTTTTCCTCGATTCGAAAATGGCTACGCATAAATCTGTGAGGTCATATTATCATAAAAAGTTTTCGCATAAGCTTTAAGCCAGGCATTCGTAGCCAAGAAGAAAGACGTGTCCAGAAATGTATTTATTCAGACTTTTTGATCCGGAGTTCGGCGAGTTAGCCGTTTGGGCGTTGTACATGTCTCCCTTAAAACACAGGGAAATAAAATGGCCGACATAGGGAGTTGGCTGTTAGTGTATGTTCGTCTGTATTCAGGAAGTCTTTTTTTTTTTTGTAGGGGATTTGTTTCTTGTGGAACTTTACAGTGGAATAACATAACTGGAAGATCCCTAGTAGTCAAACGTCAAGAAAAAGGAGAGGCAAAAATCTAATGGACATACCTTGCAAGAATTCAAACGTCGTTCAGTCGATGGAGCGTCAAAACATGAGTTAGGATGTGAAAAAATGAATCCTAAAATAATTATTCCCCAGATCATCCTGGAGTTGGACTAAAACGAGCACAAAGAAGGTCCGCAAAGCGTACGAATTTTGAACTGAAGGAACAACTTGCGCTTAAATCAAATTGATTCATTGATGAGATAAACAAATTCATGTCATGAATTATATCCTATTTCTATATCATCTCAACGATACTAACAATAAAACAAATCCACACTCTAGAACTTACTAATTAACAATGATTTTATTACAGTGTGAAACACAGACACAAACATTGGGAGAGATGGGCGTTTAACCTTTAGTCTTAAATTTCGAATCTTCTTCCACAAAATTGACTACATTCTAATGAGCCGAAGAATCATTTTTGAAACACAAGAATTGATGAATAACTTATATCAATAGCATTTAAATTAAGATTTTCTTTTAGATAGGTAACTCTCAAGCGAGTTACAAATTGTCACCTTTAGCAGCGATTTTCGACCATGATGCCGTCGACATGTCCTCCGGTCGTATAAGAATTGTCATCTGTACTAGCGTTGCATCCCAAACGCTCAGTCTCTCCGTAGCATGATAATTCTTTTTCCTCCATTTCAGCAAAAGGCTCAACCTCTTCCAAGCTCATTCGCCGCCATCTTCTTCCTTCCCACAACTGGATTATTTTGGCTTTCTTGTTCGTCAGAGCGTGGCGGGACTCGCGCTGTAAATCCTGAAAGAAACTCTTTATCTTGTTAGCTGAGCTTGGGCTCTTTTGAGGCGAAGCATCACTGCCATCTGGTGTTGAAACTTTAGGTTGTTCCTGAGCTGGACTTGTTCTGCCCGACGACGAAAAGTCGTGCTTTGTTCCGGTCGCATTTTTCGGAGTTTTCTGGTCGTTTCTCAAAGAAGTTTCCATTTTTGTGGTAGCTTCTTCAGTTGCCGAGTGCGTCCTCTTCTTTGACTGCTGGATGTTTTTCAACTTACGAAGTAGTTCACAATTCCAAACCTCACTTGCAAACGCAACTGCACCATTGAAAAACGAGCCTCTTATCCACAGAGGAGCTTTTTAAAATTTCAAACGAGTGCATTCCAATAAACCGACACCTCTTCCTTTTTGTACTCAATCAGTCCTTGCGCAAAATTCCGTTCTTTTGACACACGAATTTGATCTCATATCAACAGAGCTAATTAGTCATGGAACTTGAAGTTCGTGCATGCAACGTTGCCCCGCCTCCCAACTGAACAGACAACTAACAGAGCACGTGTTTCCAGCCGCATGATCTGACAGTTAATTTTTCCCTCTAGCTGCGAGACATTTCCTCATAATTAAGATATTAGAATTTGGTGTTCGATTAGGATAACAACTTCTACCTGTTAAGTTTGAGTATTCTCATTAACTGTTTGCTGGATAATGTATGGATATTATTATAGCGAGAAGTTATATGCTAATCACCTCTGAGAGTAACACGGTTATTGTGCTTTTCATTTTATATCTCCTCTCTCTTTCTTGCTACAATTTACTTACGTCAGAATTAAGCACCTACAAGGAATCTTTTCATTAATTTGACCAGTTGAGTTGTACCCTTATAATATTCCGCCTTTTAAGAGGAAAAAAACAACAAGGAAAACAACAAGGACGAGACAATGACAAAAAAAAAAAAATAAACAAACCAAAAATAGAAAGGAAAAAAAACGTACACGCATCGTTCCATGTGTGATTTTTTTAATCAAAATAATCTATGAACAGTATAAGTTACACCTAACTCTACAGTTTTCAAAGTTTAAATGAGAATCCTACACAAGGATCCCACTATGTAAAAATGCGCCGCTGCAGAGATTGGTTTACAACCTTATTCATATTAACGTTTTCATGTAAAAAGATTGATTATGCAAGCTGATTCCAGCATATTTTATATAGTATCAGGGTAAATCAAAAAGTATCCTATTGCACTCAGATAACATGAGTATGAAGGGGGGGGGGGTAAGAGGAAGAAAGGGAGGGGTGGGAAAGGGAGGTAGGGAAAGGGGTGAGTGGTGCCCCAAAAGGGTATAGTTTAAGATTATGGTCTGACTATAAGTAGCACCGTATGGATTTTAGTAACCAGGTTTGAAATGGGTACAGGAAATGACATGTTATGATTCCAAGGTGAACAGATGAGAAAGATGGCAAACCAACTCTAGTAGATTTGCACAAGTACCCCCCCACCCCTTCTAAGACCAGTCATTATTTATCACCTGAGAGAGGAGGGGGATCAAGTAAATTTTACAGCAATACAACCAAAATCCTCTGGTCCCTGACATCCAGGCAAGCTCTGCAGTAACCCTTAAAATCATAGAATGAGATTGATGACTTTCCCTTCCCTACTGCCACACATGTCCTTGTAAATAAGATAGGACCGTATGATGTTCTCTAAGGAAAACACTTTGTTTGTAATTCTGCTTACTCTGATCACCAATTTGAAGGATTTTTTATTAAAATTATTAGAAGCCACATGGAAGTTACTTTACCTCAGAGAGTTGATGGATAAAAAAAAAGGATGCTTTTACAAGCAGGAAATTGTTAGATGTTTTTGAAAATCGGAATACCTCTCTAAACTATCTTTGATAGCTTACATCTTTTTTTCTTTGCTATTTTTGCTTTGAGTTTAATTAAGAAATACCTGGAAACATTTACTAAGACAACAACGTAGCATCACTCATTACTGAACACGGCATATCAATTCCCAGGTGTGACATGCTAAATCCTATGAAGTAATTTTCAGTGATATACTCATAAAATACATTTCAATAACACACTGAGGCTTGAAGTTTACATCTTTTCCATCTTTTTTGAGCTGTGAGACACACTCCCCTTTCCCCTCCCCTCCACTTCTCTCCCTTCGTCACCCCACCTCCTTCCCAACCTGCTTTGCAATTTGAACTTTTCATGAGTCACATTTTTACCACATGAAAAGTTCCAAAAGGTTTCCTTACCATGTTCAAAATCTTATCCCATAAAATAAGAGCAGAATGCCTTTCAGGTTGGTGTTGTACAATGAAGATCAAGTACATGTAATCAAATTCAAAAAGAACAAAATTGCTTTGAGGAATAAGAGCAAAAAGTTTAACAAATTTAAAGTGCAGGAAAATTCAGTGTAAGCAAGATATTTTTCCATTAAATATTGAATATGCTCAGTTGAAAAAGCAATGCAAGTTTCCTGTACCAAAATGCAGAGTAGAGTAAAGCAAAACCAACCCACACCCTGCCTACAGGTATTTTGACAATCAATTAAGAATTACTCTCTGAATTAAATATCCATAATTATAGTCACTTTGATTGCAACATCTTGTTTACTTATTGACAAATTTTTGTTTAAGTCCTGCACCTACTCCTATCAGTTTCAAATCTATTACTGTTCAGCAAAAATTCCATGGGACTAGTTTTCATTGCCCCTATGGGAGTGGCAAGAGGTGCAGCTGAGAGGCAGGAGGCTGTGGAGGCTCAACCAAAGTTGTTCCCATGCTCCTTCTACTGTTTTTACTTATCTTTTGATGTAAGTTGCTCTGGAAATTACTCGTAATTACTGGTAGGCACAATAATGGAAGGTTCAATTTCAATAAATATTTCATTCTCTACAACATCAGAAATTCCTAAGATGATTCAAACTGTACCACAAGGGCATCTCTATGTTCAACATGGAACCCAGACAATGATGCATCTGCTCCTTTGGCTGCTTGGATTGCCTGAAATTAAACAACATTGTTTTTTTCATGTTTTGTTTCATTTCACAGATTCCAATAAGAAATAAAAATGGTAACACTACCACTGAGAATAAGAACTCTCTGCTTTAGAGGGAAATTGATACCAAAACATGACTGTAAAAGTTCTCAAAATCTCAACGTAAGATTTGGTTAAAAAAAACATCGGGGTTACAGTAAATTTTTCCACATGTGGCTGGTGATAGTGTGATACAAATGTAGGTGGTTGTAAAGAGAAATGCAGTCTGCTTTGTACTAAGACAGTGGTGAGAAGTCTTACAGGTGGCGGTAGACTGTCAGTAACCCCCTTTCATTAAAACCTCTGTGTTTTTTGCTCTTTAGATTTTATAACCATTCTTCAAAAGAAAAATAGGTTGTTACAATTCCATTCTACCTCCTTTCAAAGATAGTACATGTATACATGTATGTTTTAAACGACTTGAATTTTTCAGGAGGGAGAAGTATTTAAGTGGGTTAACAAATACAGTTCTGGTGTCCATTTCTTAATATTCCTTATAATTTTGACAATCCCTTTTTTTTTCCAGTACTGTTCCCACAAGCAGACTTAATCTTACCAGCTGATTCCTGGATTTGCAACATGCTAGCACTATGCCATAGAGAGTTTTTTTGCAATGACAGGATGGTTTCAATTAGTTCAGGACACAAAAACATGATTTGGCCATCTGATTCTTCAACAGTAATCAAACACTTACAAATGCTACATCTCCTTGTGGTATTGGTTCACTAGCTAACACTGACGAAGGTGCCTTCACTCCACCAGGAAGATTGGAACCGTTATGTAGCGCTGAACCATTAACAGCAGATAATTTTGACCTGGAAGCCCAATAACATTTGTGAAAGGTTAACAAGAACTGTGGCTGCATGGTCAGATGGTCATGGAGACTCAGACTAAATCCAATGTGCCAATGTCACTAGGGCTTTTGCATAATCAGCTCTTGTCAAATGTAATTGTTATTTACTCATTCTACAGAGTTCACATTTCACCCTTCAAGATAATTTTCTTGGCTAACTAGAGTTTTCTTAGTGAAAGATCAATATTAACCCTTTACACTCTAACATCAGTATTCATATTCTCCATACTGTTCTTTATACATTTACTAAGGTGCTGAAAAGGAGAATTAGTCAACTAATCAAGAGTTTCCTTAGTTGGTGACCATTTCCTTTATTCTCATGACATCAATGTGTGATTTACTACCCTTGCAACAGTTCTGTGAGTTTCTGTGAGGTTCTGCCTTGTTTTCTTTCACTCTTAGAGGTTAAAGGGTTAATTTTGGGCGCATAATTCTATCAATATAACCTAAGTGTTAAAATAACTGCAGAGGGAAGTACTAATGCTTGAATGTCAGCTTAAGAAACTCTTTACAGAAGCCAATTTACAAAAAACAACAAAAGAATCATCTTATTATAGCCCAGTGACTGAGCACTGGGCAGAGTTGAGTTTACTTTACATTTTTTGCAATTGCAGGTATTATCATTGTTGTACACTTAATTCAACTGAGAAAATTTTAAGATCATCTAAAAATATTTTATGCATTAAGCATTGTCAAATTCAGCCGTATTTATATGAACGGATCCATGTATTTCAACGCACCAAAATTGCTTCGGTCCCTTCATTATCAGAATGTCCAATGATACTGTTTTGTTTTCAGTGTCAATACACTTACATGTACTGTCTGGATCTTTCCATGTATTCTGTTCTTTCTATACTGTGAGGTTCCGTTGAGGAGACATCTATGACTTTGCTGCAACATAAGTAATGTTATTAGTTTGCATGTGTCACATGATTATGTTCTGAGGATCACCTGACAATTCAAATCCTTAAGTTGTACAGGCTCTGTTTCCATTCAAAGCAAGAGGAGGCAAGACTCATATCATTCAAGTTCAAATTTTTTCTTCATTTCATCCTTGACTGTGAAAATTTCAAACAATTTTATGTCATATCTAACCCTTAGACTCCCATGAGAGAATATCTCCTTAAAATATCAATACAATATCAAGCAGATAAGTGAGGAGAATCACAAAAAAATTTTTTTTCAGGATTATTGGGTGTAAACCAAATTCTCCAAACTAACATCATAACAAATTCTATGGCAGAAAGTAGAGAGAATTAGTAAAGAGATCTTGGGAGTGAAAGGGTTAAGCTGTACAGTCAGGTAACGTGTGTCTTGTGACAATATTGATGGTATCCCATGGAGAACTGAAATCAAGTTTCTGGTTTTCACCAACTTTGAAACAGGATGATACAGTGGTTAAATATAAGATGGTGTTTGTACAGAAAGCTTTACATTCATAGAATTAATCAATTTGTACTCATTAATCTTCCTCAGAGAGTCTTGGCTTAATGGCTGATATAATAAGCAAAATTTTGAATGGTTAAATTATCCTTTTGACATAGTCTTGGCTTCAAGGCTGATTGAGTGACCAACAAAATCCTTTACAACAACTAGCCAGGCAAGTAAACCAGTTCCCAGCTCTTATAGCCATGTACAACCCTCCAATGTGCAAACACAAGATTCATACTCATTCAGTTTGATGACAGATGATTATAACAAGAAAAATTACATACTGTGCAGTTTGATGAAGTATTCTGCTTAATAATGATTGTTCATCTGTCTTGGATATTGGGCCAGAACTATGGTTGAGTACATCATCACTGAAAATGAAACCAAGTCACAGACTAAGAATAACATGAATGTTTCAGTTGTTTATTGTTAACTAGTATAAGTGCTAACTGGTCCTCTCAATTGCAAGCATTCTTAAAACAATTAAGTTACTTAATATATCATTGAATCTGTAATGTTCCATGCCTGTTGTATTAAGATGCAAGCCAGATAAACTGGGTTAAGTTCAGTGTACATAGAGTTTAGGTTACAAGTAAATTTCACCATACAACAAATAAAGTAACATAAATTTACTTGAATGGGTGGACATGTTTTATTTTTTTGTTTGGGTTTCACATGTCTTTTAATAAGTTCCCACCAGAGAAGTTTTGTGATTGTGTTTTGGAACTCTGCTCATTCAGCAATTCCAGAAAAAAAAAAGACGACAAGATATTTTAAATTCATAAAAATTAGTGAGAAAGGTGAACAACTAAGTCTCCTCTTGATAAAGACCCAAATTTCTAGGCTCATATAACAAATGTAGCCATACCCTCCACCCCCCAGGTGAAATGGAGGCAAGGAAATGTCTATGCAAACCTAACACTTATTGTGTTCCATGATGTCCCTCTTTTGCGAAAAAAGAAAAATATAATGACTGTTTATTGGTTAACCCCTTTTGCCAATTCTTTTTTAACTCGTGAATTGTGTGCATGTGCAAGAGCGAGTTGTAAATATGATGTAGAGAATGGCACTCGCTTGCTCGCTCAATCGATTCCTGAAAACTTTTTTTTGATTTTAGGCTTTTAAGTGCATTTGATAGTTTTTGGCAAGTAATAAACAAACAAAATGGCAACCTTTATTGCTAAGAATAGTGGTGGGGTGAAAAAGAAGCCAATGATAATCTTAAAAGGATTTTTTTTTCGTTTTAGTTTCAATAAGCAGTGCCAGTGACTGGCAGGTGTGTGAGGATTCACACTGAAATGAGAACAACCTTAGTTTTTCACAAAATTAAAATCCAAAATGACGGTGGCAGTCTGGGCTTAGTTATAGCACTCAAAACTCATTCCTGTTTGTCTCATTTGATAAAGAGGGAATCATTAATGTTGTCATTAAGACAGTATTGACGTGATTTTCCAATATTTACAATGATAGACAGTAAATTTCACTTTTCACCCATATTTACTTCCAACCTTTCCTTTTGAACCAGAAACAAAAATGATACATGTTTAAAACACATACCATCATCCACCCTTGTCAAATGTAATAGCATGATCATTTCAATTGTAATGCCTTCTTATCCCAACGTTACTTTGTTTCTTTGCTACATTAGCGAACACTGAACTACTGCTCATACTCTAAATGTGACAATCAACCACAAATTCACTAAACCAGATAACATTAAACATAATCCACAAAATCATGTTAGTCATCTGTCAATTCGCAAGTTTGCTCACAGAGCACATTGATTCAATTCTGATTGGCTAAAGTTGGTAATTTATTTTCACACTAGTTAGCAAACACAGTGTTCTCCCTTATTTTAAGCATGACAGGTAAAATAAATTTTCAAACCGATAAAGCAATCCTTTTACCTGTTGAATTTCAAGAATTCCAAGCAATTTTAAACAGTAATAAGAGGTACTACAGACAGTGAATGTTACTGGTTACTGCCTGAAAAGGAGAACACTGCAAACAAGATGGTTAAAAAAATGCTTTCAGAGACAACTTCTCAGACAACAGCCATCTACGATGAGGTTTTAAGGCAAGTTAGCATGACTTTTGGGCCAGAGACATTTCAAGAAGAACAGCAGAAAGCCATAGATATGTTTTTCAAAGGTAACAATGTTTCTGTTTTGTTACCAACTGGCTATAGAGAAAGTAAAAAAGGTAAGAAACGTTCTCTGGTTAAAAAGGTTTTAAAATATAAGCTTTCGGCTATTATACTATAGCCTTTAATGAATGTGGCTATAGAGAATTCTTTAATATATCAAGCAGTGCCAGTGATTGATCACCTCTCTTCTCAAGAAGAAAACCAGTCTCTATGTCTATTGTGAAATTGGTCTCTTTGTGAATGGTGCTGTGAAGCTATTAAACATTAACTGTTTTACCCCTAAGACTGACTAACATCTAATTTCTCCATGCAATAACTTCCCTGAATTAAACATTAAGGTCATGAGAATAAAGGAGATGATCACCAACTAAAGAAGCTCTTGATTGCTGAACAAATTCTCCTTGTCAGAACCTGGGAAATGTCTAGGGAGTGGTATGGAGAATATGCATACTGATGTTAGAGAGTAAAGGGTTAAAGCTGGTTGTTTCTTGCAGCTTTTCTTTCAAAAGAGAAAAGAGCCACTCCTTCTTCACCCTTGCAGTGTAACTATCTCTCATAGAAATATGTAGAAACCTTGAAATTTTGCAGCAAATGTTCCAACTTTTTGCAACAACCATGATACTGTTTACAAGTACAAGCAGAAACCGCGTGGATGTTGAAATCAAGTTTCATAAGCGTGATGCTAATCAAACTTCGTTGCCTTCTTGCTAAAAAATTGTTCATAATCTTTTCCTATATCCTAAAGCAAAGTTTATATTTGTACTTGGACCCTAAATTGCAAATTTACCTGAAAAATGAAAAATGAATTCACTTCGTTGTTGTTGTTTATCTCAATAAGACTCTGATAACCTTCACACTAACAAGAGCAACTTTGCAAAAAAAATTTATCAGGTGACATTATTTTGGATAAATTAGAGTGACATCACTGAACACGATTAGTGCCAGGTTTACGTAGACGTTCCCTGGCCTTTGTTTCATCTTGGATGGGAGGGTACAGCTATACATAGGCTAATTACAAATGTAGCTCATTCCCTTGCTGAACTGGATAGAAATATTCATCAGAGAGATTGAGGGTGACATTAAAGGTAAAACCTTAAACAGTCAACTCCTGTTATTTTGGACACCCTCAGAGAGGAGATTGAGAGTCCATAATAGTGGGGTACGAGAGAAAAACAATTGTTTTGTCTCTAAACATATGAAATAATAAGTAACTAAGCGAACATATATTTTTAAATGTCACCTTATAAACTGGAAAAAGATCTGGCTGCTGCAAGCAGGAAATTCTCCTGTTTGCACCCATTTTAAAAAATGATTTCTTTTGTTATTTTAATGTTGCTTTATAATGTGTGAGTCAGGTTTTGGATGAGTTTCTCAAGTGTCCAGAACAGAGAAAGAAAATACAAATGAAATACTGTGCTGGAGGGCATAAAAGTGTCTGCCTTTTTGTGATAGCGAGAAACTGAAATAACAGGAGTTTATTTCAGTCACTTCCTTATGCATTTTGCTGAGGAGAGGGAAGGGGGTTGGCTCTTGTCCACAATGGCAGGGTGTCTGTAATAGCAAGGTGTCTGCAGGGCAAGAGTTGACTGTACTTTGAGCTAAAAGGTATGCCAATTAAATAAAAACACTGTGCTTTTGGAGGTTCTCTAACCTTGAAATATTGCAATGAGACAATACTTAGATGGTCACAAGACCTCCTATCTTTCCTCCCTGGCCTAAGCAGCTAAGTGGCATCATACAAAATAATAGCAAATGCGAAATAATCAACTCACACTGGTCTCTGTCCATTGGTAATTGGTGTTGATGTTCCTCCTAGTAATGGATCTCTCTCAGTTGCTTGCCTCTGCAGAAAATACACATCAATTTTGTAGATAAGTCAATCTCTTGAATAACTTTACAATCAGGTACATTTTAGCCTAGTAAGATTTATACGCTGCTATTTTAATTACCTAATTCGAAGAGGCAGACCTGATCAGATCACTTATAAAGAGTATAATATTGTAATCACTGAGTGATTGTTGACCCAATGACGTAAACTATTGAATTTTTTTCTAACAGTGCTTTCTATCATAATCACCTCACTATGATTAGAAAATACAGATCAGCTCAGTTAAGTTTCGGCTAAAGTTTATTAGGATCTTTTGATCAATTTGCATTATTACAATGTACGTTACGATAATCAGACGACAGACAGCAGAGGTTCCAAACTACACGAATAATCACACAGGCACAATACATATACCTGTAGAAAAGATATAAAGAAATCTACAAAGAAGGCGAAAAAAATAATATTCGATTCTCAGGCCCCGAAAAAGACTGACAGTCACATGACAAATCGATCCTACACGAAAAAGAAACATGAAAACCTCACTTACAGAGCCATCAGTTCTCTCCTCGCCACTGAAACAGCACCCCATTCCTGGAAGGCTAGTACAGACTGTTTAACGAAGAGTTAAGCTAGTTTCAGGGAACCAAATGTCTTCAAAACCTGAAAATAGTTCGAGGCACGATACTTCACATACGACGGATCTTGCAAAATCTTCTCACAGGAAATTTAATCGTAGCAGGCTTGGTTTCTCAGCCGCACATACACACACATTCACACCGCGCTAAGCTTTGTGGGATTAATCGTGTCAATTTCAAAATCAACCGCCAAATCTTCTGAGCAGTTTACATTCTATTTTGCGGTTCGATTTGTCCGTTTTCTCGATCTTGCTTCTGTTTGGACTATTTTAACGTATTCTGCGGAGTAAGCTCCTTGGGAGTTCCAAAATGAATGAGGCCAGCTCCAAGTTTTTGTTGAACTGGGTGAGTAATCCGTTATTTTTCGCATTTCCAATGTACTAAAAGTGCTCGTAGCCAAATTAAAACTTCATTCGGGTTGTACATTCGTCTGCATACATTTCTCCTGATCTCTTCTCATTTGCAGAACTGACTGAAATATAAAGAAATTTTTACCATTTACAGCAAAATTAACGCAAATTATTCTTGTTTCATTCCCGTCTTTGTTTGATAATTTACAGATCAATGCAAATGCTTCACGCGAAGAAGAGAAAATCAAGAACATTACGGATCCGGGAAGTGAAAACCTGTTGCTCAAGATTATACATCTAATGTAAGTACTAAGTATAAAAAAAATCGTCTCTCTATTTACCATTGCATCCACCAGCTATAAAAGACGAGGATCGGCGAGAGTTGGTGAAGCTACATGCATGTACATGTACGTTCGTTGGGAGGCAATTTGATCTTGTATTTTTCATGTTGCTTCCTCAATCTCCCCCAAATCCATGAATTGGCTTCGACAAATGAAACTCATTCGATACATTACTCATCGGTACATAGTTTTGATTTATGTGCGCTGTAATTATAAGTGACGGAAACCTGAGTCTGAAATTTGTTTTGTACCACACGTACACGTAGCTATTCACATTTTTCTGCATTCCCAAACGACACGGTTTGGATACCAGTCTTTCCTCACAACAAGGCATTATTGTGTTGCCTATATTAATTTTGTTATGTTTTATGTCTTCTTCTATTTTAAACGCCACCCAATTCTTTGCTTTCAAAATTTTGTGTTTGTTACTCTTTTCAATACTTCTGAACACCACTTAAATATCCCTGTCATCCATATTGTAACTGTTAGTGACAAGGAAACAGTCAAAGATCTTCCAGGTGGCAGTGATGAATTCCAACTTGAGCAAGTATTGTCACTGATTATATCCTACCTAAAGGGTATGTAAGAGTCATAATTTGATTAAGTTTAAATCAAATATACAACTGGCAATTATGTTAGATAATTAAAAGTTGTAAAAAATTAATGGGTAATAGAGCATAGTAAGACTTTTGCCACTTATTGTAGCTTGCATGAGCTGAGATTTAACTTGGGTTGCTTTTGAAGACTGTTAATATTTGGAAAATATATTAAGGCTTGTGGAGAGAATGACCATGAGCAGAAAGCAGTGATGACCATATTTTACAAATTTTTGATGGCAGCAAATTTTTGATTACACATAGTTACTAACTTGTGCATAGACTGTCATTCTCACTTCAGCACCAGGGGCATAGTCATAGGGGGGTCAGGCTTCATGGCTGAAATGTGACATGGGCTTCTTCTCAGTAGGTCCCTGAGAAATTAATTATAAATATAATGAGATAATTTAGCACATTTTTGCCCATTCATACGAAATAAATGAACATTATTTAGTAAGCACATGAAAAAAATTTCTGTAGGTCCCCTCTGTAAACTGTGTTTAACTCTCTTCCTTTCAGGATTTCACCGCCAGGACTTTTACTCTGTTATAAATGAAGATTATCTCAGGAACAGAAATGAACTAGAAATAGCAAAGGTTGCTTGATTCCCTTTTTTTACTCTTATTATTTTTCATTCTTAGATGATCTTCTTAGATGAGTATATGAAATGTTATATGTTTGCTTGATAAACAAGTTTGGCAAATGAAAAAAATGTCTCACCTACGATTGAACTGCTAAATTGTTTGTGTCCACCCAAGGGTTTCAATAAGAGTTGTTAACCAGTGGAATTTGCTGTCTACTGTATGTCAGCACAAATGACCACCTATTTTCTCTTAAAATAACAATGTTAGAGTGAGGATCAAACTTCCGGTAGCTGTCAACTTTATAATTTTTTCTGCCTTAAAAATTTTTTGAACTTCTTTCCACCCAATATTTACCAGGCTTGGCATGAGCTATGAGACATTTTACCCTTTAACTCCCAGAAGTGATTAACTTGCAACTTCTCCCTATAATATCCGTACATTATCCAGCCACCAGGCAATGAGAATACTCAAACTTATCAGGAAGAAGTTGTTACCTTGATCTAACACCAAATTCTCATAACTTATTTACAAGGAATTGTGTGCTAGTTAGAGGGGAGAATTAACAATCAGATCTTGGGAGTGAAAGGGTTAAGACCTTGTGGATCACTAGAAGTTGTTTCAAACAGCATGTGTACTTGCAAGGCCAAAGGTCACAAAAATTTATACCCTCATGATTTTCTTCTTCTACAGGTTATTACACTGTTACTTTGTGGAGCAACACAGTGTGATAATGTAGCTGTATTTGTGGATCAGATTACCAAAATGGATGTTGAAGATCAGTTCAGTTTTAAATTCCTGATTGAATCTGTGTTTACTGACATGGAACAAGGTTGTCTCACAGCTGAATCCTTTGCTAACATTTTAAGCAAACAAGGTGAGTTGTACATGAATGTAGCTTTACAGGGATTGAAATAACAGAGAGTAAAAAGAATGTGTGCAGCAAAAATAATGTGTTTCTTAGATGAAGTGCATCTTTTGTACTACATTAGATAGCCTTGGTGAACATATTGGTCAATTGATGGACATATATGTGATATTTAAAATTATTCAACAAGAAGGCAAAGCAAATATTGGACGGTGAATAATCCCAAGACAAAGTCAAAATATTATTTAACAATATTTGCTGAGCCCAAGGTGAATAAATGTTTCAGTATGATTGCTCAAACAAGTGTTTTTGAATTCTGTTGTAAATTCATTCTGTTGTTGAAACCATTCTGTAAAGAAGGAAACATTTGCATATATTTTGTTACAATTCTCTTGATTTCTTGTATCAATATACTGGTAATCACCTCACACAAGGTGGTTATAGTGAGATATGATGCAGTCCTGGACAAATCAGAGTGCATGCATCTTTATGATCAATGGAGCAATTACACTAATACTATTTACTAAAACAGTTGGTGGTGTCAAAGGCATTCTCTGATTGGCTACTCACTCTAAGGATTTGTGCCCAAAATAATTGAAATTTCTTGCCAGATGAAATAAATTTAAATCACCTTTTTGTGCTGTAATGTCTCACTGTTTTAGAATAAACTAAAACAACTACAAGTTGTATTCACTTCAGTTTAGATGGCTACATAGTAGTGGATATTTACCTTACTGCTTTGTGGCTCTGTACATGTAAATGTCCTCTGCTAGCCATCCCACTTGGGTGAACAATTGCCAAATAGGTAGAGGCAGATCCAGGAATTTTTGATAGGCAGAGTTGTTCAAACTTTGATTCAGAAAACATCTCTTCTTTGTTAATGGTTTTGTTTTTGTCTTTGTTTTTACAGCAGAGCCTAACATAGGCTAGAGTATTTCAAGATAACTTACAAAGTATAGAATAGATGGAAATTTTTGAATTGGTGCTGTGATACTTGATGGAGAAAGTACCACTTCTAGATAACTTACTTGCCAACCATTTCATCTCACTTCTTTTTTTTGCAGTGAATTTAGTAGAAGGCCAAAAATTAGACCTTGATACTGATCACATGCCATCACCTTTAACTGTCCAGTCGCCAGTGGAGGCTTTTTTTACCAATTCCCCCTTAAAATCTCTTGTGGGGTCTCCACAGTTACGCAGCAAACAAAATCAGGTCAGTTTTCTTTATTCCATAACTTTATAATGATTATTTTTTGATACTAAGTAACTAATGGGTTTTGAAAAAGATTGTTTGCAGCATCGCCTGCCAGTACAGGCACTCCCCATTAGACAGGGAACAATATACAATCATGTAGAGGCCATTATCTTTGTATGTTTATGTGTTTTAAAGATTTTACTGCTCAGACCCCAGTTTTCTGAAGAGTAAAATCTGTCCCTCTCAATGTTTGTAAGAGGACATTCTATGGGACATTTACTTAATATGTAACTGGGTTTAAGGAGTATAGTCTACTCCCAAGTGGATGGGTTGTCCCAGTTTTTGTAGCATTATGGGACTGGACGTTTTCCTATTCCCCCTGGATGGGTTGTCAGTCTCTTGAAGTTTATCCCCCTTCCCTCCCAACATCTCATTACGTTCCTCTGACAGTTCGCCGGAACCTATCTTTACATGTACTCCTGGGCAGAGGGAGGCACAGTCACAGTTTAGTGTCTTGCCAAGGGACAACATGATGACTGGCTAGAATTCTGCAGGAAAATAACCTGAAGAGAAATTAGTTTTCTTAATTAGAACAAAAACTTCGTTTTAGAGTAAAACCGACCGTGGACACCCGGGAAAAAGTCGAACTTTTGTTGTTTGCCCGTTTCCGATAACGTTCTGCTGAACCTATCTAACACTAAACCCATCTAATAGGTAAAATAAAGTTTCTGAAAACAATAAAATTACTTCCTTCGTCTTTGGCAGTTAATGCTGAACAAGTTGCAACAGAAAGTTACCAAGCTACAAGCCTCTTTAGACTCACAGGCTCATTTGCAAAGCGACTTAGAGGCTGAAGTTACAGAAAAGAACAAGGAGATTGATGCAAGAGGTAAAACAGAGCAGAGAAAACTTTTAAAACTGACATTTTTAAAGAATTACACTGCGCACACTTTTTTTTTCTGGAAGAGAAGGCATGCTAGTCAGCAGTATATGAAACTGGCCAAGTCTTTCACTAAACAAAAGCACAAGGCCAAGTTGCTCGGAGGCCGGTAAAATGTCCGAAGTAAGGGTTTAAAGACCTGCGAAGTTTTTTTTGGCTTTAACGCGCCTTTTCTCCGTTTCTAGATGCCACAATCTTAAAATTGCGCAAAGAGGTCACAAAACTAC